GGGTGAGGGGATTGGGGGGACCCCGGCCGTACCCACGGGCTGCCCACGCCCCCCGCGCTCACCTCACGTAGCACCTGCCCATGAGGTACAGCTTGCAGAGGTGCAGCCGCTCGCAGCCGTCGCACTCCTTGCGGACACAGACCCGCACGTCCGTCACGGCAAGGACCGCCAGGCCGCCCTCCAGCACCAGGAACTGCCGGGGGCCCGCCGCCGACAGCGTGTCCTGCAGCTGTAGTGTCGACAGCCCGATGTTCTCCTGCAGCTGCTGCAACCCCAGCCGCCCGCCATGGGCACACAGCGTCTGGGTGAGGAAACTGGACACGGCCGGATCGCACATCCTGCCCCTCCGCTCGAGACGGGACCGCGAGCGGGACTGTGTCGGGAGCGGGGCGGGAGCGGGAAGAGGAGCAGGAGCGGGGCGGGGACTCCTCACTGCCTCTCGGCCGCGCTGGACGGGAATCGAAACCGAAGGCACGGGCGGGCCCAGCAGCTCGGGCCGCGCTGGGGGGAGGGATCCGACCAGCCTCGAGGTCTTCTTGCCTGAACATCACACTGGAAGTGACTAATGCAAGAAGTGACTGAAAGGATTGAGAGGTTTCCTTGTTATTATTACGGAATCACTGAGTGGTTTGGGTTGGAAAGGTCTTAAAGATCATCTCGTTCCCCCCTCCTACGCTGGGCAGAGCCTCCATCCACTAGACCAGGTTGTTCCATGCCCCATCCAACCTGGCCTGCAACACTTCTAAGATGAGGCAGTCTTGCCTAACCTTTCCTCACCTTGCTAACTTTTGCTCTCTCTACACTAACACGAATCTAATGCAGAGCGTTAAGCATATAATGAAGGATAAAACATATACACAAATAACTCTAATGTTTATGTAGCAATGCCATTACTTTTCTTCCCGACTGGAAGTGAGCTGCTGATGAGCACCGGTTGCAGCAGAGTGTCCTGGCAGGGCTGTAAAGCTGTGCTGGTTTTAGCTGGGGTAGGTTTTTCTTCAAGTTACTACTGTGGGGCTGTGTTTTGGATTTGTCCTGAACACAGGAATGATAACAGAGATGTTTTCATTATTGCTGAGCAGTGCTTGCACAGAGCCAAGGTCTTTTCTGCTCCTTGTACTGTCATACTGGGGAGGGGCCTGGGGTGCATGGGAAGCTGGGATGGGGGGGGAGAAGGAAGGCTGGGACATTTGGAGTTACAGCTTTTGTCTTCCTAAGACACGGTGGTGTATGATGGGGCCCTGCTCTCCTGGAGATGGCTGAACACCTGCCTGCCCTTGGGAAGCAGGGAATTAATTCCTTGATTGGCTTTGCTTGTGTGTGCAGCCTTTGCTTTCCCTATTACACTGTCTTTATTTCAGTCTAGGAGTTTTCCAGCTTTTACCCTTCTGATTCTCTCCCCAGTCCCACTGGTGGGGAGCAAGTGAGTGGCTACCTGGGCCAGGCTGCTGGCTGCGGTTAAACCATGACAAAAGCAGAAGTGCCAGGCTCCTCTTAGTGTTGAAGTAGGGCTGGGGAGGGTCTGTAGGATGGGGAGGAAGCACAGCAAATACTGAATCGAAAGAGGGTTGAGGATTAAATCCATTTGAGATGAGCTTTTATACTGAAACCCTTTGGCACTGCAAGTTTCAGGGACAGTATCAACTGCTCCCTCTGGATCAGGAGGTTAACCTTGAAAATAAAGTGAGTGGCCTGTGTTGCCTGTTGCTGATGGCTGATTTGAAAGGCATGTGAAACTACAAAGTCACAGTCACTGTTCAGGTCATAAAGAGAGAACCACCTCCAGGAATAAGGCCAAGGTGGTACTAGAGCCTGTGGTATGCTCTTTCTTTGTTGTTGAAGGCTACGTAAGAAGCTTTTCTTTGGACATACTTCCTCATATCTGTCCCCCTCCTATGGTAATTGAAGCAATGAAATTATTTCTAAAAAGAAATAGAAAAGAAGAGGGAGGAGTTTGCCACATCATAGCTTTGGAGAAATAAATTGATAGTTCTGGGTTAGTTTATGCTCCAGCTGTGGATATTGGCATTCTCAGGTTTCAACTGATCATCAAGGATAATAAAACTCAGATCCATGCTTGAGGTAGTTTCAGGACTGACTGATAAGGTAGAAAATTATTCAAATAGTGAGTCAGCAATATATTACCAGCTTTATACAGTAGATAATAATAACAATAATAATAGTAGTAGAAGTAGTAATAATAATAATAATAAATCAGGCAAATTGTACAGTAATTTGCTTATATTTATTTATCTTTTGTTTTTTCAGCCAATTCCAGTGTAAACATACATTTCTGCATTAATCCACTCAGAAATCTGAACTACTGGCCTGAGGAGCTTTGCTGCATACTTTGTGGAACAGTATTAACAGAATAGAGCAGTAAAGTGAAGCACTGCAAGCAGAAAGAAGCTACAAATGCAGTCTTGGCAAGCATGTTCTATTCTCCATTTAAATACATTCAAGAAGGGTTTATGCTCAGAACTGAGTAAAAGCAAACAAAGAAACATTGCTGGATTTATCCTGTTTGTTACTATGTTTTGCAAATACAAATGCCCAAATACTTGACTTCCTTAGCAGCTTTAAACAGAACCATATGAAACAGCACAACTGGGTAAGGCAAAAGGGATCACTGTATGAAGGAATCCCAAAATGGTGGTTTTTTCATAGTGATTCCAGCATTAAGTATAAAGCCCTTTGTTTAAAGTTAGAAACCAGTGTTGCTGGATTGCTATAACCTCTTGCTACCCTTTAAATCTTTCTGTCTGATGTCCTCCACTTGCAGCTCTAGTATTTCCTTCTGTCCTGGTTTAGGGCAAATTTGGGAGAGAACTTCTGAATGGGGTCCCTCCAGAAAAGAAATTCAAGCAGCTCCTCCCCCAGCTGGTCTGGGAAAAGATTTCCTTGGAGAAAAGTGGAAAAAAACCTGTTTATTTAACAGAAATGGAATAATATTAAACAATAAAACCTCTCGCTGTTTGAAGAGATGACAAATCCAGAAAAGTCCTTGCCATGGGTGTAGCTCAGCTCGCTCAGTCTCTTATCAGTCCCTCTGGTGCTGGAAAGTGCCAAGGCCCAGGCCCTGGTGGGCCACAGGCGTGAGCTCCCGGGGTTTGTCTGGGTTTTCAGTCCAGAGCAGGTTTGAACAGATCCAAGAAAAAAGGAAAAAAACAGTCTGGGGAACTTCTCTGCCTCAGCGAGCTAAAAACTAACTAAAAGCAAAGGAGAGCTCTGTCCCGCTGTCTGTCCGTGCTGCAGACAGCACAGTCCAGGAGCAGGATGGGGGACAGTGAGGGCTCCTTCTGAACACAAACTGTTTACTGCTACTTCTTCCCCATCTTTGCTCAGAGCCAGTCTTAAAGGTGCAGAACTTAATATGTAACATAAACAAGGTGATTGGGGATACAAACATCATAAAGTCACCCCAGGACACCTTGTTTGCCCTGACTCTGGTATTCAACTGACTCTGTAGTAAGCAAAACCAGCTTTCAGAGAGTTTAAACTGAAATATGGACTGGTATGAGCAAAGTATGAATGGAAGTGGCTGTGTGCAAGCACCAGAAGAAACAGCAGAACAAAGGTTAAAAGAATGGTCTGTGTTAAATAACCAAACCCACAGCTTAAGGCAGTCAAATTGAGAAATGTTTTTCTCAAAGCAGAAGTTCTGCATTCTGTCAGCAGAAAGTTCTACCATCTGACATGCTGGACGTGGCAGGAAGATACAGCACATCACAAATAACATCTATTTCCTGTTGGTTCAACTGGGAGCAGACCATAAAATGTGGAAACACAGAAAATGAGCAAAGAAGTCCCAAGATGTGGGGTGGGGGGAGGCAGCAGTAGCCAGACTGAAGCACAAGGATGCCACCACAGTCAGTGCTGGGTTCCACAAGATTTCCAAGGCAGTTTTCCCCTGCCAGTGGACAATAACACAAGAGATACCAAAGGGGTGTGATGGTTGGTGCTCATCTTCCCTTTTGTTACATGCAGCATGGATCCTGGAGAAACCAGCACCCCTCATGGGCTGTGAGTATGGGGTTTGGACAGTGTGAACAGAGTTGGATAAATTGAATGAATGTGAATGAAAGCTGGAGAACTGTGTTAAATTAATGCATACCTAAATGCAACTTCTGCAGCTTGACTGGGTGCAGATGCGTTTTGAAACAAATGTGCCTTGTCTGATGTATAAGCACAGGACATGGTTACACTGGATTCTGTGAAGCTGCCCTGCTCTATGTGAAGTAGAGGCTATTCCTGCTCTAAATAGTTGGTACAACCCAGCTTCCATGGTGCCTCTGACTACATCAGCAGTTCTTCCTTGTGGGGATGGCTAAAGTGTGCAGAAACACCCTGGAAATTATGCTGTCAAACCGGCTTCCCCCCTTTTTATTCTGACATGACTTGTTCATTTTCTCTTATTATCATCCCCATTCTACTTCCTGAGACTATTCTTTCAGGTCTCAGCTTTGGCTCACTTTATGAGTTATTCTCTGCCCCACACCCAACTCTTCTTGCCTTGTATTCCCCAGACTGTTTCAAATAGCATTTTGCAGAACATCCTGGCACCACTGTCTTCTTGTTTTCCCCCTTCCATTTCTTACACAGCCCTCCACCAGTTCAGTACTGTTTGCTTACTTAGCTAATGGCTGCGTTTACAACTTGCCTGAGGCTTTCCAGATAATTTTGAGGCTTCTTTGTTCTGTGTAAACTGTTGAGCTATGTGATAAAAGTTCAGCTGGTGAGAGGTGGGAGCTCTCTTCTCACCTGACATGCCTGCCCTGAACACACCCAATAATTTGTTATAAATGACTTTCAAATTTCAGACAACCAAGTCTAATTAATTGATAGTATACTTTAATAAATTGGATAAATTGGATACAAAAAAATAGTAAATAGCAATATAACATAAAAGGAATACAATTTAGTAAAATAAAAAGGAATACAATTTAGTAAAATAATACAATTTAGTAAAAAAAAGTACAGTTTAGTAAATATATTCAGATATATATCTCTCTATATGTACGTGTGAATACAGTTGGCCAGTGGTTAAGGATGGTTAAGGCACAAGCAAAACTGACAGGGGTACGGGGAGGGCTTCCACTTCATGTACAAAACAAAGCACTTCAAGATAAACTTATATACTGTACACTTATACATATTCATTAATGCTTCCCGTAAGTTTCCTCCTATTTCTGATTTTTCTGACTTTACATCGCTTTTCTTCACGGCACATGCCTCACTTGTTGTTACGGGGTCTTCAGTCTTCTTTTGGTGGTCTTTTGGTGAAGGCTTCTCCTCTTCCTCATTGTCCTTTGGATAACCTTACAGGTTTGCGAGTGTGTACTAAGTGTTGTGTTATGTTAGTCTACTAATTAGTTTTATATTTACTGATTATTAGGCCCAAT